CTGAAACTTTAGATGGTCTAAATTTAATTCCTATTGTTTAAAACCATTGCTCGTGATATTTGTTGAAATTTTTTTTTATCACTTTAGTGATTTTATACTTTTTCCCCTTATGAACATAATTTAATTGAAATATTTGCATCGTACTATTCAGAATATTTAGAAAGTAAAATAAATGTTTTCAGTTAAATATGTGATAAATATTTTTGTTCAGTTGAAGATCCAAAAATTATAGATCACTAGTTTGTATTTGATGTACTCTCCTGCTTATAGTGATCCAAAATTTCCGCCGACGGAGGAGTATTAACTGATGAATTATATCCCAAGTCATGGTGTGGATCACTACACGCCATGGCATCATCATCACCCCACTCGCCGTCATCAACATCCACATCACCCACCGAGTCATAATTTATAACCCCAGCAACAACACCATCACCATCCCTATGCCGGATATACATTATCCGGCTACGTTTCTTACGTTTTTCCAGTCGTTTCGGATGGCCGGGGTGCCTGAGGCCGGAGTGGCCTTTTACCCTTTCATCATCAGGTAAGGATCGTTGAGGTGGAAACGTTCTGGTCCTTGTAGCCAAAAAAATAAAAATTGGAATAGTGGGTGCCTTACCCGAGTAACTATCATGGAAGAAAATGGAAGTCTTATTTATGTGAGTCCCGCTGCGGGACAACATTATTGACAGACGCCTCCACGTGGCATGGGGCACGTTTCATTTCTTTACCGAACACACAAACTCCCAATCGATCATGTATCCATGATTAGCCTCAGACCCGTGCCCCCGCATAGCCCTCAGCAAACAGCGGTCGCCCGTAACGTCGTCGACACCACCAGGAATACAACGAAATCCTCCTCCGTAACAGCTTGAGGGACACACTTCACCCAACTGTGCAATAGGCGGGGTCAATTTCGGCAGTCTGCCGGTAATTTATCCCTAGATAAAACAGGTACATGTTGGGTCAGATGAGTCTAACATTTATATCTTCGCCCCCTGCTACCCCCTCTCAAAAATGTCGAAAAAGTTTTGATTTCATCTCAAATAAAGCTAGAAACTTAAGGTGTTTATTTGTTGCTTAAAAAAGTGAAACGATTTTTAATCACTATTCAAAGTATTAATATAAGAAATTTTTGAAAAATGTATTGTACAAACTGCATTCTTAAACAGGGAAAAGAAACAAAAGTAATAAATGGGAACTGAATCATGATTGACAAAAATGATGGGAGCACAATTTTTTTTTCTGTTGCTTTGCATGAGATTTTTTTAAACAGATCTTAGATACTTTCGTATCGCTGATTTTAAATCTGCAATCAGTTTCTCTCTTAGCTAGTTTATTTTTAAGAATAAAATTTTTTGTCGCAATGTTCAAGTTTAAAAACGTTATAAATGACATAAGGTCGCATAAATCTTGAATTAAACTTCTGGGTTAGTTAGGGCACATCATCAGGATAAAAATTGCATAAGAACTCATGCCCGGATATATCGTCATAGGCCGCTTCCCTGTCATGAATTATTTCTTCGTGTGCTTCTGAACAGGTTTTAATAGGGAAGCCAATCTGGCAACGCACGACGACATTTCCGGGCTTTGGTTTTTATTCCCTTTTAATCCTGATGATGTGCCCTAACTCTCTTAGAAGTTTGTTGTAACATTTACGTGACCCTCTGTTATTTATAAAGTTTTTAATTTTGTACATTTCGACATAAAATAGACTAAAGATATCATTAAAAATCTGTGGCCTTAGGGGCAAAACTAATTTGAGATTTTTACACTCGAATTACGTTAGGATAATTTGAATCCCCACACTCGATCAAGCAACAAAATTTTGAATCCTTTCCAACTATTTTAAAAGCTCAAATTTAAACGGAAGCTCTGTGCTAGAAGACATTACAATCTTCTAGCTCAATTTTATCACCATTTTATCGCATAAGTTATTAATTTATCGTGAATCAAAACTCTCAGCAATTACTCTACAACTAGAGCTCTCTGGTGGAGGACAATAAAAGTTTATATCGTTCAAACCTTATATCGTTATGACAAGTTTATATCGTCCTGAGCAAAATTTAGCGTGATGATGTTATTCAGGCAGGATCTGTAAGTTTTTTCTCGACGTGGGATAATATTGTAAACTTCCTATTTAACTGGTATAATTATCTGCATCCTGTTATTACTCGCAAAGGCATCCTGTGTCAGAAAAACTTAGAATTAAGTTCTTGTTCTAAAGAATATAGAACATCCTGTTGTTTAATTCATCCTCAAACAGGAAACGTCTGAAAATTTCTTTCCTGACGAATATTTCGATTGCACAAACATTTTGTCGTTTATCAAAAGGTAGCCTGTGCCAGAAAGATTTGAAAATCAAGTTCTCTTTTTGCAGGGTGCAAGACACCTCGTTGTTATTCACGTATCCTCTGATACAGGCATATTATCTATTTTGATAAGTATTTCCGAACCACCCGCATCCTGTTAATACTCAAAAGACATCCTGTATCAAAAAGATTAGGAATTTGAGATTCTGTGGGAAGCAAAATATCTTTGGAAAGCGATCATTTTGCCTCCCAGGGATTTGTTTCGTGTGAAAAAAAAATTACTCATCCGAATGACGCTAAATTTGTCTGGAACACAAAATCCTCCAAGTTTTCATAACAAATCAATGCCTCTAACTGAATTGGGGATTGATCGTTTTCTAGTTCAGATCAAAATTACGATGTATAATGAATGGGGTATAATTGGGCCATCCCTGTAAATTGGGCTGTGACCTGAATATGTAGCTGAAGTCGTATTATTGTCCATAGATGGCTCCTCTGAGAAACAAGAAACGCATCGTTTGCCTAAAATATTCGCTTGATTTCAAACAGGCTTGCTGATTTTGGCAAGTGGCATAAGTAACAACAACAGTCCTCATCCTGCGTCAGAAAAATTTAAAAATTGAATTCCCATTCTGCATAATGCAGGATATCATGTTGTTAACTTAAAGCATATTCTCGGACTGGAGACATCTGGAAGTTTTTGCGTTCTGATTAATACTTTCAGTGGACATGCTTCTTGTTGTTACACAAAACACATCTACCGACAGGAAAAACCAGAATTTACTATTCATTCTGATGAATATTTTCAATGCATCCTGTTGTTGTCCCGCAGGGAACTAATGTGAAGTGATTATTCACAATGCCTCTGATTGACTTAGACGTGCATGCAACTCTTTAGAAACGGCATGTAAACTGCATACCCTCTGCAGAAGATCAAAAATTGCGAAGGCATGTTTTAGGATCATCCTTAGGGATGTTTCCCAGACCGTCGCCAATCGCCTATTTTGCAGCTCTAGTGTGACGTAAATAAAGTACCTACGTACTTAACTATCTTTTAAAAATATTTGCTACACATAGGATGGTTGACCATCTAAAGATAATTACAGATGGCGCTAAGGGTTAAAATACGGTGTTAAACTTCCGGGTTACCACTTTCGACTGATAATCAAGTCTAAGCTTGGATAAGCACACCATGCAATATTATTATACCTGTAGTGTTCACACTATTACGCGTCTTTTCAATTTAACTTTCAACGAAATAAATAGCAAATGAATTCGGAAGACTCCTTAAGCATGCCAGGATGCTTACCAAAAATTAACTGCCGGAGATATTTTATCGAATTTTGCCAAATAAGGAATAACACTCGAAATGTAGCAAACCTTACACATTATTTATGTTTTCTAAAATTTGTTTTAGGATCGCGACCTATTGGAATTTATAAATAGCAGAAAACTCTCACGAATGATAAAATTGTGCTTAAATCTGGATGCAAATCTCAATTACAAAACTTCCTAATTTATTAAGCCTGTTCACACATCACCTCGTAAGCATAGCATAAGCGGAGGGATACATTGGACGTTTTCGAAATTTCTGACGATTTTAGGAAGCTTGTTATTGTTTACATTTAGTTAATCATCCATAGTTATCCTTACATATATAGGTGTCTTCAAATCACAAAATTTTTTGAGGTCACTTCGCTGATCTGAAAATTTAAACAATTGGTAACTGAAATCATTAATAATTGGGTACTTGCACTTCGAGTTGAAGATCACGGATACCCACAAATGTGATCTATGACGTCAGTGCCAGCTGATCGTTTATGAGCAAAATGACGTGTTAAATTTCTCCTCGTAAGTTAGAATGTTAATTAAATAAAATGCCAAATCAAACATCGAATTCATTAAAATATAATTCTTTCTCGTTTACGTCTTTTACTTAACTTAGATTTATAATTTATTTAAGAATTTTATTGTAAAAGTGATACATTTTTGTTTTGTGTACCTGGCAACTTTGATACATAATTAGTTTTATGCTCTAAAATAGCTTCGTGCTTGTCTTTGTGTTAAGTAAGAAATATATTGGGAAAGAATTGAAATCTTTTTGAAAGAATATGGAATGTGTCATTTATAAACAAAATTACGTGCTAATGTAAGTTAAATCTCTCCAAGTAAGTTAAAAAGTTAATTAAATAGAGTGCCGTATCGCTCATTCAATTGGTTAAAACATAGTTCTTTCTCGTCTACGTCATTTCTTAACTTTTACTTTACTTAGGTTTATAATTCATTTAAGAATTTTATTGTAATTTATATTTTTGTTTTGTGTGCCTGGCAAATTAGATGCCTTATTAGTTTTTTTTATGTTCTACATGGCTTCGTGCTTGTCATTGTGTTAAATATGAAATATGAAAAGAATTTTTATGAAAGAATGTAGAATATGTCACTTTAGAGAATTGATACTTTAGCGTGCTTGGCTCTCTCAAAATAGAATGGAAAGGAACCAATCAGGATCGAGATATCTATATTACGTCACTTGCAAGTATCCCATTGAGAAAATAGGACTTAAGAATCTGATTGGTGCGAACTTTGTAATCCAAATGATTTAGTCGAAGTAAAAATAACCCTTATACAGTTAATGGAAATATATGCATTTATATTTACTGCAATAACTTTAACTTCTATCCGTAACTGTCGTGAAATATTTATGTTTATGATGTAAAAGTATTTAAACGTCTAATTGAAATTCTTTTAAATTTTTGTCGTGTCGTAGTCAAAGTTTTTAATCATTAAGCTTAGCTTTTTTGTTTTACTGCATTCTACCATATAAATATAGCTATTTCGATTATTTTCTTGTCAGAATAGTTTATACGTGGGTGTGTTTCGAAACCATCTGTTAATCTAGAAATAAGATGCTAAGTGTGTTAGAATAAACAATAAGTCTTGTTATGTGCGTGTTTTCTCCTTCAAACGAAGAAAACCTTCAATTGTAAGCACAGTTATACACATTAAAATGAATTATTTGTTTTATTTTTAGTAAATGGTATGTCTTTCAAAATATCGAAATTAAGATAGTTATATTCTTACATCAAATAATTCCTTCAATTTGCTTTTACTTTGTAAACAATATTTTTCTTCAACTCCTATAAATTACTGTTCTTCCCTTAAGTTTAATTTTTGTGTTAACTGCTTGCTAAATTACTTGATCATGATAAGTTCTTATTTGTGTTTCTATGCTTTAAATTGCAACTCATATTTTAAATTCTTTCTGTTTTAATTGACTGTCACTTCAAACTAGAACATTTAGTTATCTTTTAAATTTCTTGAACCGTTTTTGTTAGCTTCCTGAAATTTGGATAGTAGGTTTAAGGGGCAATTTTAGCCTCCTGATCCGCAAATCTAATTTTAAGATAAAGTAAATAATGGCACATTAGAAAAAATAAAGAAATCAGCTTGCCACTCCTGTACATTAAAGTGACGTTATTGAACTTGAGCAAGTAATTGCCTGCTTCAGACCAAACAGATTCACTGACAGCTTTACGTCTTTTAAACAATTGTCAAGTAAAAAATTTTTTTAGGAGAGGTAATGGGGATATTTCCGTAATGGGATCTGTCTCGCTAACTACAATTGCCAAACTCCAAATCAATTTTAAATTGAAAAAAAAAAAACCTGATGGTGGCCCCAGAAGCAAAAAGTGCCTAAAACTATGACGTACGTCGCAGAACAAACGAAGTCCTATAGAACAATTTGTATCCTGAATGAGTGACAGCGTTTTCCTTTGAACCCCGCCCACCTGCCTCTGTTAGTCTTGCAGAATAAGGAAAACATTGATATTGAAAGAGGAAAACGTTAATATTGTCATTAAACGAATAATAATTCTCTTTAGCTTTGACCACTTGCTGTTTCCCAGGAATGATATTGCTTTAGAAGAGGAACATTTGACACCCTGTACAAATTTCAGCGCATTTATCAGTAATCTCCCTCTCTCATATCTTTGCCATTCTGAGGAGGAAATTAATGAATTAGCTTTTGGCTATAACATTTTTTTAAAATGGATGTATCAGTTTTTAGCAGACAGCAGGAGAAATCGATCACCATTTTTATCGAGAGAGCTTCTAAAGCAATCCGTATATGAATTAAATTCAGAGATTTCCAATTTCCTGAAGTTTATGACTTTTATATTTTCCATTCCAATTTCAGAAGCAATTTGTGAATCGTGGGGATCTACGATTGACAGGATTGTTTCTAAAAGACCAAATGCTTTCGATGGAGATGAAGAATTTGTTGGAACAACAGACCAGTGAATGTTTGTGTTTGCAAATGGTGCATCATCTGGGCACTTGTCCCTTCAAAAGATTTTTAAGGCAGCCTTTATTTTAATCTTCGGACCTTCATATCATAGGCATTTTATTAATAATTCATCGTCATTAACAAAATTTTGTACTTCAAAAGTGATTGAAAAAGTAACAAATCAAGAATGTTTGCCTTGGTTTCAAAAATAGTGTAGTGTATGATCCTGTATTTTAATAAATGAAAATATAGTATTTTAACGTAAAGTTTTTTTTCGCTGTGAAATGCTTGTAGAACATTTGTATGAGGCGCATCCAGAAAGTAAGTTTCCCGAATTTTTAAAAAAAAGGAACTCACACTTTCAGGATCATATTTATTGGCAACAAGTATATCAATGTTTAAGATATTTTTCAACATAGCCACCACCAGAATTGAGTCACTTGTCATATCGTGGGATCGACTTTTGTATCCATCTGTCGTAGAACTCTGCCCTCTGTGAATGGAACTAGCGTGTAACAGGTGTCTACCGTTACTGTGAAACACTTCAGAAATTGTGACTTGCCATTCAAAACAAGAGTCGTGGAATGTTTACTGCAGGTGTTGTGCTCCTCCATGACAATGCTTGTCCATATACGGGATGACGCACTACAGCTGTTTTGACGGAATTTTGCTGGGAGTTGTTTCATCATCCACCCTACAGCCCATATATTGTTCCCAGTGATTTTTAAGTTTTTTTGCACCTCAAGAAATTCCTGTCCTCTGGTGAGCGTTTTGGCAACGACGAAGAGTTGAAGACGTCTGTCACACGTTGGTTCAGATCACAGGTGGCAGGGTTTTACGACAGAAGGATAAAAAAGTTTATTCCACGATACGACAAGTGTCTCAATTCTGCAGATGGCTATGTTGAAAAATAGCTGAAACATTGCTGTACTTAGTGCCAATAAATATGTTCCTGAAAGTGTGAGTTCTTTTTTTTAAATATAAATTAGGGAAACTTACTTTCTGGATGCGCCTTGTATAAATTAATAAGTACTGTTGTAGAAAATTTGAAAATATTTTGCTTATGGGATGGTGGCAACGATTTATACCCTTCAAGTTGGTCCCTTCATGGGAAGTTTTTTCTTAGTTTTTCGCGAGCTGCTGCCCAGAAGTTGCCAAGACTTGGCGGTTATTCAGCCACAGGTCACAATACAAAAATCTATCCTGATAATTTTGCATTTCAATTTTTTTGTGTAAAGAAATATTTTATGAAGTGATATTTTTAATTCGGCAAAAAAGTTTTCCAAGGATGCTTGAATGTCCCCCAAACTTCATGTACACGATTGGACAATGGTAACAAATAATAACAGGGGTCTGTCTAGGTTTTTCTGAGAGGTATCTATTTTGTGAAAATTTAGACATAATTTGCGGAAAATTAAAAATTATATTAAAAGATCAACACAAAAATATGGATTTATCGTTTCTTATAGGTTACAAAAATAAAATGTTAAGAAAAAGTATTTTGTGAAACAACCGTTTTTCCTCTAAAGTTGAATTTGAGAAGATACCACTAAACGGTAGTAAATTTGGCCTGGACAGTCCCCCGAATAAATTAAAAAATTTAAATAATTTTAGATTTATTAATTGTGTTTGCATATATAATTTAGTTTTGTTAATGAATTCGTCTAGTTAATACCAATTTATTGATTATATTTATTTTTACTTCATCCTGTATGAAGAACGGATATTCAACTAGTTTTAAATAAGATAGTGTTTTTTTTATATAATAAGCTGAATATTTGGGAATATTTACATGTAGATAACTCTGCCTTTTCACCCTTTCTGAAATCGTTAAGGTGCTAAATTGATGGATCAAATACATAAATTATTGGTTATTTCAAATTAATTATAAAACATGTATGCATATATTAGCTTTAGAAAAATTTTAGCACTAAAAATCTAATCCAATTTAATTTTAAAAGTACAAAACTTACTCGAAAGGTGTTAAAAGTATTAAGATTTAGTTAAGTATTAAGTAAGTATTGGAGTTAAAAGTATTAAAATTTACATTTAATTCAATAAAAATTGCTGCCGTAAAGGATTTAACACCAATTGCATTTATTATAAATTTTGAAATTAGTGGCTAAAAAATATGAAGGAATTTAAAACGAATTTCATTTTATTTTAGCTTCTCTATATGTTTAATTTTGTTTTGTTGAATCTCATTGATGTTTTTCTTTACTAGTGGTTGTGCCCAACTACTTAGTATGTGATACCTCTATATCAACTATTTTCTGATCTAAAATTGAGCTTTGATAAGAACTTTATTTTGTGAAGTTGCGAAGGCAATTTGAATTTATTATGGCTGCAACAGTTGAAGAGCAAATGTCCAGTATGGATGAAGGTGATTCAGAAATGACAACTCAGGATGAATCAACCGAAATTCCCTGTGAAAAAGGACAGTGTCCTACATTAACTGATGTTTCTGATTCAAAAATGTCTTCCTCCTCAATTGAAAGTAAATCAAATATGGAAACTGCTAGTCCTGTTAAAGATAAAATATCTGATAGTAATGACTTTATATATCAAGTGAAATGGATTTCTCGAAATGGAGTGAAGAGTCCAATTATAACACAGGTATTATGCTATTTTGTTACTTAAGGAATTGCAACTAAAAGCATAACTTGTAGTAAATTTCTTCTTTCAGCCTAATCTATATATGGAAATTTTTTTAAGGTTCAGTGTAAAATAACACAATAAATATGAATGTATCTTTATTTTTGTTTTCATATTTTAAAGATTATTTATATATGTATATATATTAAATTGTCAGCTTCGGTCGCCTTACCCTAGGGGTGCTCAACCTGCGGCCCGCCAACCCTCGATGTGCGGCCCGCGGCCGCAATCTGAACAAAATGAAAAAAAAAATAATTAATATTTGTTTTTGAAAAATAATAAAAAAAATTCGGTAATTTAAATTTACAGTTTTAAGTTTTTGACGCACCCAATCTCAATCAATGTAGTTTTTCGATGGTTAACGCTACGGATTTCAGCATAGTTTTAAAAATCCCAATATTTTTAATACATCATTATTACGATTTACGAATTTTAATTACCACTTTTGACGCTTTTCGTATGTGCCGATTCCAATGACTTTTCGGTAGTTATTGCTACCCATTTTCAAGTAGTTTCTGAAATAGCGATTTTTGAAAGTTATGAAACGCTTTATTTGTGCAAACTTCATGGAAAATCTAAATGACTTTAGATCCTTTCTTCAACAGTTATTGCTGCACATTTCCGCCCGGTTTTTAAAACTTCGATATTTTAGCACGATATTATTACGAATCGCGAGTAAAGAATCGCTCATTTAGATAACCATTTTTTGACATGGCTTATTTGTAACGATTTTATCGCAAATCAAATTATTTTTCAATCGTTATTTTAGAAATTATTGCTACACATTTCTACAAGGTTTTGAAAGTACCGATATTTTTTATACGCTATTGCGACATTTTAATTTCAAATCTCGCATTTAAATTACATAAAATTTTGATGGACTTTATTTACTCCAATTTCATCTAAAATATTAAAGTATTTTGGTTATTGTTTTAGTAGTTATTACGTTTTCCCCGTGATTTAAAAAGATTATGATATTTTTAATACTTTGACAGCAAGCGAGTTTTGAATTGCGCATTAAAATAATTATTTTTTACGTGCTCTGTTTGTGCCGATTTTATCATTTGCGTTGTACCGATTTTAACACGAATTTTTTAAGAGGTTTTTCGAAAGTGTTTTTTCTTCTTTCCCGTTATTGCTGCATTTTTATTTGTGATTTAGAATATACCTGATATTTTCACACAATATTACAACTCGTGAAATTCGATTCAGCTTTAATTTTTTTTCGTAACTTAAAAAGTAATTACGTATCTTAGCCAAATCAACACCTTCCCAGGAAAAAAAACCGAGATGTGTTTATATTAAACGCGGTCCGTTTTGCAAAAAAAAAAATTCAAAACACGGCATAATTCTTTAGTCCCATGAACACGTGCAAGTTTAACAACACACATCGAACCTATTCTTTTTGTTGTCACATGTAATTTAAAAGTCATACATCGTAATTTGTATTTACGCTATCTGAAAATTGCGCATCGCATTTCGTATTAACATTAACGAGATTTAAAAATAATCCATCGCGTTTCGTATTTACGGGATTTAAAATCACATATCGCGATTCGTGTTCTGGCGTTTAAAATATCATCCGTTGCTACTTTTCTCGCAATTCATATGCACGCGTTTTAAAAACCATATATCGCGATTCATATTCATGCATTTTAAAAATCAAGTGTTGTGAGTAGTCCTTTCGCAATTTAAAAGCCACACGATTCGTATTCACGCGATTTGAAAAACAAGCATCGAGTTTATTATTTACGCAATTTAAAAATCACACATGGCAATTCGTATTCAAGCAATTAAAAAATAACATATCGCTATTTCAGGGGTAGAAGTGACCAATGAGAAAAAAATAGGATTGTTTTGAAAAAAATATAGGATTTTCTAGAAAAAAAATATAGGATTTTCTGGAATAAAAAGCAGGGCAAAAAAGATCTAAATTAAATTGAAAAGTACGGATCATATATGAATAACTGTAAAACTTAATTATTTAACACTATAAAAATTTGATAAAAAAAATTATATAAACAATTTTCCGCAGCTGAATGGTGACAATAAAATCAAACATACCTTATTATTGCTTTAAAAATTAAAAATCACATAAAAAAATTGACTTTATCAAACTAATGACTTTTTCAATAATTAACATTTTATTTACTCCTCTCTATTACATTAAATTATTTCAAAAATTATGCAGCATTGTTTTTATATTCATTTATCATTCTGCAAAGTCTTTAACTTTTTGTTGCCAGCATCAATAAGTGCTTGTCCAGCCTCAATATCAGCCATAGATTTCCGTTTGAGTCCTTGTTTTAGACTCTGGTTTCCTTCTTCAATCATAGCCTGAGCTGAATAAACATTTTCCTTAAAACCTTTCAATTTCTCCTCAGTTGATTTTTTTATAGAAGTACTGGGCTTAGGCTCTAAACTTTTTTCCTTGAGGTTTTTGAGCTTTTCCTTTTCTTTTACTGCCTTATATTTGCTGTGGGCTTCTTTGTAGAACTGGATCATCTCTTTTGTTATTTCCACACAAGAAGCATCTTTTCTAACTGAATCTTTTATAAGTCTTAAGCCTACTAGCGTGTTTAAATTCATTCTTGACCTTTCATTTGTCATAATTCGTTTGCTAATTGAAAAGCCACGTTCCACAGAGGCTTGCCCATGAGAAACAGACAGGACTGCCTTCACAAGTTTAGTTAAAAAGGGATATTTTAGATTACCATTACCATCTTTAAGAACAAACACATTGTTCCAATACTTGTCAATGGGAATGTTTTCAGTTTCCTCGGGAACATCTTCATTTGCATACAAATGCCACTCGTTAGTCAGTTTATCAACACAGTTCTGTGGTACGATGTGGGGTAGCATGTTACACAATCTTCTGATTGTAGGCAAAATATTCACTACAGGTTCTTTCTTCACAATAGGGTGTAAAATTTGTAACAGTTTATTTTTCAAAGGCAATTTCTGGAGGAGGTATTCAGTTATTATAACATAAAATTTCTTAGCATTAAATAGAAATAACTCCTTTTCTTCACTTTTTACCAAGTTAAGTACCTTACGAACATTATTGCCCACATCGATCTTTTTTAAGGTCAAGGCATCTTTGTTCAAATCTACCTCAAGTAATTTGTCGCCACTTTTGTTTTTCAAAACTTCTTCTTTAATAAAGCGTCGCATGATTTTTATTATCAAATCACATAACTCATTGTATAAAGTGTGAATCAATGAGTTTTTTTGTTGTAATAGCTTTAAAATATTATCAAAAATTGATCCAACACTCATAAGGAAATGCAAATAAGCTGATAATAAAGGATCTTCTAAAACTTTTTTAATGCTTGGAAATTTATAAAGCTTTACCAAACTACTTTTCTGTTTAGGTAGATCTTCTATAAAATACTCCTTTAAAGGAAGCAAAAATGCAGGATTCTTTCGCAGACAGTAACAACAGAATCTGTTGCTCACATATCTCAACACTTTAGAATATTCACAACCAAAATGATCAATTTCTTTTTGGAGATCCTCTTTCCTGGAAAGAAATTTAGAAAACCATGAATAAATGTTTTCCAAAAAATCAATAATATTCCCAAATTCTTCAATAGCTAAACCTTTTCCAAAGGCATTATGAATAACATGTAAATTACATGTACCCACATTTATTAATCCATACTTCCTAACTTTCCGTAACTTCTTTGTCGAATAGTTGAAAAACACATTTATTAACATTCGGCCCATCAGACCCAAGCATCACTATATGCTTTAAATCTATTTCACAAGAATTTAGAATTGATTTTATTGCATTAAAAATGTTGAGAGCAGTTGCATGCCCCAACAGTTCTGAACCCAAGTATCTCTCGGATATACCACCATCACAAGAGCACCAATATCGAATGTGCACATCAAGTTGTTTCAAGTTTTGCTCATTAAGGGTCTCATCAAACATTAATGAGTAATAAGGTTTTTCTCTCTTAAATTCGTTGGTGATTTGCTTCAAAAAGTAAGGACCAAGTCCATGTGATATAGAATAAGACACTTTGGTGGAACATAAGGTCATCCCAGTGCACAAATTTGAGTCTGGGAAGACAGATGAAAATACTTCTTTTATAGCATCCTGCGA